CACCTGATCCTGAAATTCGATTGGTCGTTATTACAAGGGGTGGAAAAAATTTTGTGGGACAGCTACCTAAAATCTCAGGGGATGGAGGGGGGGATAACGTTAAACGAAAGTTTAACTTCATATTTGGATTTTCAAGCTGAGTTAACAGGATTATCAAGCATTTTGATAAATAAAATTCATTCTAGATTATATAAAAGAAAAAAACTAAACCCAATCCCTGAAAAAACTCTGAAACTTCTGAATATTTACAAATCAAAGATGCTAATATTAGGCCATGCAAACTTAATAAATTAGTTCTCATAACCCGGCCGGGTCGAATTTGCAGACTTTTGAAAAATAATTTTGACTATATTTACTATTCGGGTTGGTTTTTTAGAAATCTGTAAAAAAAATTTTATATGCTTTTTATGTATGAACTTTTTGAAAATAAAATTAAAAACCGGGTTTTCGGGTCATTTTGTAAAATTTTATGAGTACCAAAAAATTAACTTTGAATGACCTTATAAAAATTTACAAGTTTCCGGAATAAAAAGATATAATTATTGAAACAGTACATAAAGATTTCTTTACTATCTTGCTGTTATTAGTCCCCAAAGATTTTTATTGTGGTTTTTTTTTTATTTGTATTTCCTTGATGAATAAGTGTAAATTCGTAAAAAAAGCAAAAGCATTACATTATAGTTCTTATCCAGACCATAAAGCGAAAATTTTCTCTGAATAATCGTTGAAGAGTTATAATTTTGGATGTCTTTAGCGTTAAATGATTTGCGCCATAACAATCTTTGTCACCATCCTGATCCTGTTACTATCCTGTCACCAGGGCTAAAACGACACATAGCAAATGCCGACCATTTACTGCGTCATTGCTTATTGTTTAAAGTATCTTTCTTGATACATAAAACTTATTAGTAGAAATATTTAATTGATCGTCTTTAACAATAGACATATCGATATGCATACGTACTGCATTAAAAAATTGTGAATCAAGAACGACACTTATTGAATAGCCGGCATTTGCTATGTGTCGTTTTAGCCCTGCCTGTCACGTAAATAAAATTTTAATCGAAATTAGTTTAATGATTGTCGTAATACGCGTATCATCAATGGTATTTCTTATTATTATGCGGTGGTAATTTTCCGGAACCGGACTAATTCGGGTGAACCACGAAGATAATTAACTAGATAATTATTGTCATGACTTGAAATCAGTGTTTAAAATCTATATGCGGAATCTGCGGTGCGCAGATTGAAAATTAATTCCGCAAGTGAAATTTTCTTTGAATCTGCGGATTTTATTATGTGTCATATATGTCACACATCTATTTTTTGAATTTTTATTATGTTTACAATAATTATTAAACTTTTCCGCATATTGAAACAAAATCGAATTTTAAACACTGCTTGAAATTCTAAGCTGGACTTATATCATGTGATAAAAGTAGAGAAGTGGACCAAAAAGAGAATCATCCAGGGTCGCCCCCTCAAAGTTCGGGTCGATTACTGCCGCAGCACCTCGGTATTTTTTTTTTAATATGCTTTACGGTAGGACAACATAATACCCTACTGTGGCAAAGTTCTGGCAAAGTTAATATTTTAGCATATTTTTAACGAACAAAAAAAATACCGGAGTAACTGCGGCAGTAATCGACCCGAACTTTGAGGGGACGACCCTGGCTGATTCCCAAAAAGAAAAAGTTTAGTGTTCGAAATTTATCTAGAATTATTGTAAAGAAATATTTTCACGATAAAAGAAGTCAAATATTTCATATAATTCATTATTTTCATTATTTTATGTGACAAAAAACTAACACATGCGTTTTTAAGTAATCATGTTTTTATAAATACTTGACGAATACATAAGACTGAGTTGTATTTTTTTTTTTTTTTATCGCGTATTTGATCAGAATCATTGTATCATTGTATATAGTATTATTTTCCTTAATTCACACAATTTTAAACAATACGACAATAGTAGTTACGAATTAATTAATTCATTTAAATATATGATTAGATTAGGAAAATTAAATGGGAGCATTGTATTAATACCAAAGCAATCATGTATGTATTCTCCTGAGTGTATTGCATTAAGCAAAAAATGTCGACGAGCTTAGAACTACCTTGCATTATCTTGCGTTACAAATATTTTTGAATGCATTTTGCATGATAACAATGGATAGAAAAATTCGACGAACTTGGAACAACCCGAAATCGTTAAAATACTTTAGGAAAGGTATCAAGAATGTTGATAAGCTTAGAACAGCCAAAAATCGTTAAACACTTTGATGAGCTTAGAACCGTCAAGATAGTTATAAAATGAAGGCGATTTCTCCACCCAAGAACGAATTCATCAAAGCAAAGAAAATTCAATCGAAATAAAATTCTCTCAAAAACACAAGCAAAAAAACAAAAATTTCGTAAAAAAAAATACCAATTCTAATAAAACAGAAATATATATAATCTTTAAAAAAAATGTCATCAAACCAACACACCTCTCGTGCTCGGGATTCTGGAGTATTCGTCGACCTTGACCTTGACATTGATGAAAAAATTAGCACATCTTATAGCCATTATTTAGGATTTGACGTCCCAGCAAAAAAATCGATCCGCAAGGAACCTGAATACGAACCTTTTTTCACCACATATTCTTTAGAAGTAGTCTTACCACCAAAAATGGCACCGAACACAGAAATACCATTCTCTGGCTACCTTGGTCTTCAAACATCACCAAAACCGATAAAACGCGAACATAAACGATCACAACGCAAAACCTCATTTTACTTTGTTAACCTGAACGACTCTGCATCACACAACGATGATATTGAACCTATAACTATAAAAGAAGAAATTATTAAGACTACTTCAGAAGTCTCTCATATAAAAGATATAAAAGACAGAGTTATAGAATCACCCTGCATTTTACAAGCAAGTCGTACACTTCAATTATTAAGAGAGGTATGTTGATATATTTTATTTGATTATATTAATTGCTGAAATATTTTGAATTAAAATTTAAAATATTAAATGAATCGCATTTTATCTATATAGACACGTCGTAAAATTGCTGCATTTCATAAACGCAACTAAGTTTCATCTAAGCCATAAGCATGAATCCATATGTAAAAAATTATGTAAAATTCATTTTTCCCGTAAGATTCTTTTTTTATAATAGTTCCCTCTTGTAAATAATTCTTTAGAAATAGACATGATTTGGACTTTCTATTAAAAACATTTAAGCATTGTATATAGCCGAATTTTTGAATTTTTTTGGTTTTCGCAAATAAAATAAATTTTTGGAAAGAGTAAATTTCGATGTACCACGTGATCTCAATAAAAAAATTTTAGTGAGATTCTTGTTACGTAAAAAACCATTGTCTTTACGTAATCAATAAACCGAGTAAATACGTATGTATATACAATAAGAAATCTCAGACCCGATGGTTTTGTCAGCTTACTGTATAACAAAAATATTATCAATCATGTATTCAAATGCTACAAAGACAATATCGATATGTATCTGCCTTACTGATTTTGGATCGTGTTACAAAATACTCAATTATAATATCTGACAACGTTAATCACCTGGTATAAACAACCACAATGATAAGGTTATATAAATAGGCGACTTTTTTGAATTTTATTGTATTATGAAAATGATTAAAAACGTCAAAATTACGTATAAATTTTGTTTGCTGATAAATATTTTTTTAAATAACACAATATACTGTATATATTTATAGTTTCTCATATGATGAATTATATAAGCATTTTATAAACAATAAAAAAATTTTTTAAGGAAATTCATTTACTTTCAAAATTATATTTCCTCACATTGTCTCAAGCCTCATACCTTTAACGTCAAAAAAAATTCAAATTTCCTTGAAATAATCCGAAATTATATTTCACGTGATTTAAAATTTTTTACGCATATATTGCAGTATTTAATTCCAATTATATATACTGTATAAATACTACTCTTATGATAAAATATACAGTAGTATTAATTATTTAAAGTTGTTAATGGATTGAGGTTGTTGGTCAGTCAGTTTGAAATTAGTTACAACACAAACCAACTTGAAGAATTAAGTTCTAATATAGCACTACCGGTTTGGTTTTCAGTTTAGCAGATTGGTTGAATATTCTATTTCATATATTTTATAATTCACACCAGTCTGGTTTGGAGTATGATACTCCAATTAACATAACAACTCTAATATTATTAAATAAAGAAAAATTTATTATATTATAGTATGTAATAATATTATATTCAACATCAATAACATAGAAATATTTATTTAGTACGAAATAATCAGATTTATTGCCAAAGAAAAAAAAAATATACACTACGATATTTACGAAAATTACGAATTTACAAAGATAAGAAAGCCTTATCTCTTAACGATAAAATTCTATACAATACAATATGTATAAAGATAAGAAGCCTTATCTCTTAACGATAAAATTCTATACAATACAATATGTATAAAGATAAGAAGCCTTATCTCTTAACGATAAAATTCTATACAATAAAATATGTATAAAGACGAAAATAAAATCGAAAACGATTGAATAGAGAGTTATTCGAAAAAAATATATATCGATGAATTTACAAAATTCTAAATAGTCCAAAAACGTGTCTATAAAAGTATTATCTAAAAATACAGTAATTATATACTAACAAAATGTCCAAAAAAAAAACTTTATACAAAATTCGTAAAGAATCTGAGGTCAACTCAGTAGTTAATAAATATATAGTGTCCGGAATTAATAGTCCGAAAACTCATTATCGTCATGCTTATTATATCTAGCAATCAGTGTGTAACGGACAGCCGGACTTATACACCGTCATGAAAACGGGGTGCCCTCCGATTCGTTCAAGAAAATAATAATTCTATATTAGTCCTCTAAAAATGCAAATTCTAAAAAATATCAATTCAGAGAATTATCAAGGTCGGACAGTTACAGTATTATAATCGACGTAATTTCTATCAGGCATAGAGGTATTATCATAATTGGCGTAATTTATGTCATAAGAAACAGATGGAATAAAATTAATAGTGTCGAGGCTATTGCTATTGGGAAGTTCAATTCCTAACGCTCCCCCAGAAATAATTGATCCGTCAAGCAAAAGAACCAATGTTGATGCATCAGGAGGAATGAAGTGTGATCCATCCAAATGAAACCCAAATAATTCAGGAGACATAACAAGAGGTGATCCACAAGGCTGAGAAAATATTGGTCCCGGAACAAGAGGTGATCCCTCAGATGGAGTAATAGGTGAATTGATAAGTGAAGTAGTAATAGGTGAATTGATAAGTGAAGTAGTAGCAGATGAAGTAATAGGTGAATTGATAAGTGAAGTAGTAATAGGTGAATTGATAAGTGAAGTAGTAATAGGTGAATTGATAAGTGAAGTAGTAATAGGTGAATTGATAAGTGAAGTAGTAGCAGATGAAGTAATAGTAGGTGTAGCCAAAATTGGTGTAGTAATTTGTGGAACTTCAGAAGAAAGAATTGAAGATGAATTCTCCGAATCTAATTGTTCTAACAAAGTTGTACTGCTAAATGTCGACATATTCTCACTCATTGGGCTGTCTTTTTGAGCGTGTACACCGTTTTTTTTACGGGGTTTATACTCATAATTTGGGTAGAGTTCGTTATGTATGGATTGTACATCCACTATATAATAATATTTTTACATAATTTATATTAAATTATAAACTCAATAATAATAATAATAATAATAATAAAAGAAACACACATACCCGCTAACTTAGCGTATTCAGCTTTCACTTCACTTGGTAAACTCCCCCAAAGCTCCTGTGTGCATTTACACAAGTTGGGCATACTTAATTTTTCAAACTCTTGTGGGAACTGGCGTTTGAACTCCAGCATAAACGCATTTTTGAAGAGAAAAAATAAGTTTGGAGGACGAGGAGGCGATGCTTTTCTCCTCACAGTTTTACCGGGTCGCTTTTTAGTTGACATTAACTTAAGTGCATTATATTTTTTCTTAGGATTATACAAATTAGCGTAATTGAATCCAAAAGGAATTCGTTTAGAGCTAAGTTGTAATTGTGATTGTGCCATTATGTTTGAATTTACCAAAAGAAATACAAGAAATACAAGAAATACAAGAAATACAAGAAATACAAGAAATACAAGAAATACAAGAAATACAAGAA